GTGAAGTAACGAGGAGGACATTCTGGGGAAGTAACGAGAGGGGACATTCTGGGTGAAGTAACGAGGAGAGACATTCTGGATGAAGTAACGAGGAGGACATTCTGGGTGAAGTAACGAGGAGGACATTCTGGGTGAAGTAACGAGGGGGACATTCTGGGGGAAGTAACGAGGGGGACATTCTGGGTGATGTAACGAGGAGAGACATTCTGGATGAAGTAACGAGGAGAGACATTCTGGGTGATGTAACGAGGAGGACATTCTGGGTGATGTAACGAGGAGAGACATTCTGGATGAAGTAACGAGGAGAGACATTCTGGGTGATGTAACGAGGAGAGACATTCTGGATGAAGTAAGGAGGAGAGACATTCTGGGTGAAGTAACGAGGAGGACATTCTGGGTGAAGTAACGAGGGGAGACATTCTGGGTGAAGTAACGAGGGGGGGAGAGATAACGAACGTAATCGGGGGTAGAGGCTGGCAAAGGGGGGGGGGGAGGGGGGGGTCCTGCTGGATCTTCGGATTCTTGCAGGCAAGAGAGGTTTATTTACGACCACTTGGGAGCCGATGGGGTCTCTGTTGCAGGGGACGCCGCCTGAGATGACAAAAAGCAGACGCAGAGAAAAGTTCGAGGAGCACGTGATAGTGAGATATCGAACAGCGGTGGCTGAACCCTTCATTGACGCTCGTCATCGGTTAAACAGACGCAAGCAGTCGTCACTGCTCTTCAAACATTATTGTTATTTTTAATTATTATTACACCTGTGTGCTTAATCTGATCAGCGTGGCGAGATACGAACAAATAACGCCCCACGATTGGAGGCCGTCGTCCAGCAGTGGATTGATAAAGGCTGCCCTGTACGTGTGTGTGTATACAGTATATGAAATGACCGTGTCAAGCTATGTGCGAATGTTATGATGTGCCGATTGTGCTGAGGCTCGCTACGAGCCGTCACCGCTCCGTGGGAGTGTCTGTGGACAATGCCACTAGACCATGAAGAACACAACAAAAATCCACCCCCATCTTTTCTATTTTCGGGGTCCGGACAGGTTTCCCGAGATTTCTCGCAGACTGCCCTCCTCACTGTTCTTCCAGTTGCCGCTCAGTTGCACAAGAGGAAATGGTTACCGACGAGTCGCAGCAAAACCGAGACGTGAATATGTTTTATTTATCTATATATCCTGGAGGAATCCGATGAGCTGTGAAGCTCTTTTTTCACAGATGTCCATATAGGTGGGCAAAGTATAGTGAAGGTAAGAAAATCAATGTCAGTAGATACATTAACTGGAACTAAACTTTTTATTTCATTTTAACCAGGTATTCTGTTTCAGAAACGACCTGACCACAAATGATAGTTCAACGGAATGGCTTATCAAGTGGAAATATATAGCAGCCAAATACTCTAAAGGTTTGTTGACCCCAAGGCTCCTTGTCGAGGAGGGCCCTGCTTGAGATGATGTTTTGAAATACGAATTTGCATGTGGGAGGAAACTGGAGTACCCGGACAAAAGTCACCCTCACACAATCCCGTGCGGTTTGTTTTTGTAGTGGCGTCTACATGCGACTGTATCTCAAGACAAAGGCGGTCACCGCATCGCGCGCTTTCAGATGCCCCTCTGCGGCCGTCCGGAACGCTCTTCCGATATTAGGAAGCCACTGGAGCTATGCACTTTTAAATCTAAATTATACAACTAATTTCTTTAGAACTGCTTTTTGTATTGAGTTGCTTGTCCTTCCCCCGCGCCTCCGATTTGCACGGTTAGCTACGTACGGTGCGAAGGAAGTTCAACGGGGATACATTCACGACGCTGTCACGATGGCAGCGGAGGTAATTTAATTTCTCCCCCCCGTGCCACACGCATGTCCCCTGTGTCACCGCGTGTCACCGACACCCGGGGGAAGCATCCGTCACGTCTCTCTGCGAGCGCCGTCTCAAGTTGTCTCGCGTCTCGAAATGAAGACGAAGGGAGCGGAGGCGCGTCCCCCACACTGCGGCGATGCCGGCGATACGACACGCGGCGACACTCGATAGCGTCATTAGTCGGTGTGTGTCCGCGTCAGGAATTAGCCCTCAGGCCCTCACGATTGTTTTTTATTGCGGAGGAAAAATGTAAATAAATATAATGGGTGCTTTTATAGACTTGAGCAGCACTCATTGTACTTAGGCCTAGCAGTGATGCATTCTGGGAGCTTCCGTGCTTGTCAGGTATGCAAATTAAATATAAGGAACTCGATTTACTTGAACATTAAATTTAAGCAAACATACGCTCATTACTGTCAGCGACTTGTGTGTGTGTGTGTGCTTGGCGTTGTGGCAATGGTGGTGCGTGCGTAGATGCACAGACAACTGCTGCATGAGCAGCTTCTGTTCCTTTGCTGCTCTGTGTTCCCACTGTGGGTGTGTGTGATTTTTGATTCACTTTGTTTCTATACACTTGATTATACATTAATATCCATTCACAGTCCTTGTTGATCCCCCGCTGGATGAAGTATTCGCCAGTGGGTGGTAGTCTATTCGCTGTCAGGTTTCGACCGTAGCACAGAACAGCAAAGGTCCACTCTTGTAAACAATGTCACAGCCTCCTTTAAAGTCTAGCGCTTAGCGTATGACCTTCTTGAGTAATATCTTCAGTCAATGGTAATATTGCCAAAGCAAAATTGACGGTCCACTTTGACTGCATAACATATTCCAAACATATGAGATGATTTCCAGCAAGAGAGGAAGAAGCAAGAATGACCCCACTTTGTTCAATATGATGGGGTCATTAATCAGGAACCAGCACACAAATAGTGGCCGGGTGGCCCAAGGGTCAAGTCACGGACCCTGCAATGCTGAGGCTCTGGGTTCAAGTCCAGGTTTCAGCTGCTCGTAATTAAACCGGATTCTTAATTGTAGTTAGTTGATGGTCTCGACATGGTCATTAGTGACTGCACAAAAAACATATTAAGTAAAATGAGAGATTTCACTTAATTCGTTATAGTCTGTGTATGCATTTTTTTTAATATTTGACTCGTCGTCTGGGTGTAGAGGTCTATAATGCGCGGTGACACACTGCTCACTTTGCATCACCACGTGTTAACACAGATCACATTTGAGTTGGAAAAAAAGCAACAACAACATGACCAAAATACATAATAGGAAGTAGCACATGGCAATAGGTAGCAGTGATGGTTGGTCAGGGAGGTAGGGATATGGGCAGACGATGGGAGTAAGGGAGACAGGGTGGGAGGGAGACAGGGTGGGAGGGAGGGGGATGGGGAGACAGGGAGGGAGGGAGACGGGGTGGGAGGGAGACGGGGTGGGAGGGAGATGAGAGGACAAGGGCTGTTCGGTGCAGCACCACTTATTCCTCCTCTGTTGACGCGTTCCACACGTCCGCTTTCTGCCCGACTCCACCGCCCGTACGCCGTTTCGGCAGAACTCCAAGTGTCGGCGTGTTTTGCCCTCGCGATGTCCTGCGCTGTTACCCCCACAATGCCCCCCGACCTTCTGAACGAAGCCTCCTCCGCCGGCCGATCCAGACCGTTAATCCCTCACGCCCATGCCAAGACGTCACGACGAGGTCCGCTCCCGCACGGCCTCGTACGCCGCCGATGAATGCGCGCTTGTTGCGGGAACGTCCCCTATGGAGCAGTTTTCGCAGGCGGGGTTCGCGCCCCCGTGGCCTCCGCCAAAAGCTGCGCGTGTTTCCATGTCCCATTCATCGATTCGCTCGTTCACTCACTCGGTGATTCGTTGCCCCCGCTACGCCTACCCCCCCCCCCCCCCCCACCTCCGTGTTCGATGCCAAACGCTGGGATGCAGGGGGCACAAAGCGGCCAGCGGAGGTGCTGGGAGCTGTTTGTCCCCAGAAGTGCCCGTGGCCGTTGGCCGAGCGTAGTTGGCACGGATCCTGGTGCAAGTCGAGTCATGCAGTTGGGCTTCCTCTCTCATTTGCCTGGCACCTGGGCCTGTCCAGGCCCGTGGGCCCTGGTAAAGTCCCACCTCCTGATGAGCGCCTGACAGCTCGGCCACCGCATCATCTCGCGGCGCTTTTCAGATGCGCTTCTGCGGCCGTCCGGAACGCTGTTCCTTCCGATGTTAGGATGCCACTGGAAAATATGCACTTTAAAAATAATCAAGATCGAAAAACTTGTTTTTTTAGAACTGCTTTTTGTATTTAGATGGTTGTCCTTCCCCCACACCTCGGTTAGCACGGTTGGCTATGTATGGTGCGAAACGTCCAACATACATGCATATGTACACTGCCCTTGGTTCTCCATAAACTCATCATCGGCGATGTGCTCACGGTGATGTGGAGCGTTGTGTAATCTGGTGGATGTGTCGGTAAGCCACGCTGGGACAGCATGTGTGAGACTCCCACATACGTAAACATGAGGTGGTATTTGTATCAGGCAGGAGAGTAATTAGGTCTGTAATTAAAAGTACGGCAAGGTTTATTGCTCTCCCCTCATATGCGTGGGGCTTGCACCATTTCTCTACACGTGGAAATAATTTGGCGGAAAATAAATTGCCTGGAAATTCGAATTAAGGACCCTCATAGAAATTATTCTTAAGACTCCGAGAGGCCTTTATTGTGGAAACAAATAAACTAATATTTTTGAGAGCTAGACATTGTGAGCATTCACGACTGCTTAAAAAAACACATAATACTGAATCTGGCTGTGGTGTGCAAGCTTAAAACAACAAAAACTCAACACGTTCGTCAAGTACGCTTGCCTAAGAGGAGAAAAGTATTTAGTTGATGACAGTTTGGGCAGTTGCCCTTCTCTATAGCATAGAGACAGAGAGGCCAGAGAGACTGAGTGAATAATAGCTGGGGACTGCTCTGCGCACCATGGGGCCCGGATTATAATGCTAATCCGTGGGCTTGGGCAAGAACAGAAGGTTCTCACGTAGACGGAGTCGTGCGCGCGCATAGCCGTGTTGTGGTCCACTGCCAACCTAGCCTCACCTCTGGCCCAGCCTCGCCGCCTCTAACCCGGCGCTCGTTTCCGCGCAGGACGTGATCGTGACCCACGCGGTGCAGGTGAACATGTCCATCCCGGTGGATCCGGCGCACCGGAGCCCCAACGTGGAGAGGATGGACCCCCCGCGGTGCTCGGTGACGCGGTGCCCGGCTGGTACGGTCCTCGTGTGGCACGATACCAAAGACCCCACCAAGCCCCTGAGTCCTCTCCACTGCTCCTCAGGACAGACTCCAAGTTGTTGCAAAGGTGGCTCGGTGATCAAAGCGCGAAGCTGGCATCGCCGAGGCCCCCGTGTTTGGATGTGGGCTTTAGACCGGGTTAGCAAGAGTTGTGAGTAAATGGTCTTGGCCTGTTCAACCATTGATTGTACCAACAACAACAATACTCCTTCATATGACTTTGTTTTTGTGCATAATTGGTCTAAATTTCAGACTTTAAAATATTGGTTTGGCTGAAATTTTATGAAAATTACTCTGGAGCAGGGCGTGTAGAAAAGTGCTCGCCCTGAGTGTGACATACAGCAAGAGGTCACTTCAATGGATCTCATTACATGATGCCAATACCAAAATTGTGGTGTTCAATTTTAGTGTCAGCCGGGTCACCAACGACTGTACCAAAAACACCCCCCAATCATAAGAAAGTAGTTTTTTTGCACTTCGATTAAATTCCATCACTGAGAATAATAAAAATATCAGTTTGACTGTCAAAAGATTATCCGTTCGTCTCTCACTGCTAACCCTGGCGATTCTCAGGCGTGGGTGCCCGGCCAGACCGCCCGCCCAGCGGCACCTTCTCCTTCGAGCCGGCCGCGCACCGGGCCCACCCTGGCCCCAGCGCGACGACGGAGCCGCCGGCAACGCCGCCGCGCTCCCACAACGGCTCCCGCGGCGACGAGCGTGACCACCGCCGCCAGCTCCCTCCGTCGTCCCCGCACGGCGCCCAGCGCTCATCGGCGGCACCGCCGCCCCGGGAAGGCGTCCCGGCGTTACCGCGCGGCCGCTCCCCGAGACCCGGGGGCCCCGCGCCGCCGCAAGACGCCCGAGACTTCTGGCCGCCGACGCCCAGGGGCCGCTCCCCTGAGGCGCGGCACGGCTCTGCGTCGCAGGCCCAGGCCCCCTCCGCCGACCACGCCAACGGCACGCGGTCCCCGTATCCCCGGGGCCGATCTCCGGGGCCTCGAGTTCCGGTCGAGCACGCCGGCGGCGGTAATTGGAGGATCGGCGACAGAGACGACGACGACGACGACGACGACGGCGGCGGCGGCGGCGGCGGCGGCGACCTCCGGAGGAGGTCCAGAGGCGGGGGGGGCGCGACGCCGAACGCGGGGGGCGTCCCGTACCCGCGGCTCGCCAGCACGTCGGATTCGGACACGAGTGGCGGGGGCGGCGGCAGCGGTGGCGGGAGAGAGTACGCGAGCCTGGCGGACGTGCCGCGCGCGCGGCGCATCGGCCACCGCGACACCTTCGTGGCGGAGAAGCGGCGGCTGGAGCACAAGCTGCGCACGCGGAGCCCCGGGCGCGACGAGGTGGAGCGACTCTTCGGCAAGGGCCGCCGCTCGCTCGGGCAGCCGCAGGGCTCGCCGCACGACAGGTGAGCGAGCCGCCCCCTCCGCCTGTCGGGCCCCGCGACGTTTGTTCGGGTCGTGCGTCTCGATCCCCCGTGCCGGGATCTTGTTCGGCGGCTTCACACAAGCGACGGGGGGAGGCCTCTCTGAGGATTAACGGCACGAGCTTTCACCGGACTCCCGGCACAGGAGTCCTGTGAAAGCTCCCACCCTGCGAAATGTTGTTAACATCTCGCAACTCCTTCGCCTGCTTTGTAGGGGTGCGTGGGTTGAATCACGACTCCCGTATATTTGGAGTTTGCACGTTCTCGTACAAACATATAGTTGTCCTCCTCAACGATCACTCTTACAGTCTTATCATCATCACAATTGGGCTTTTTAGGTCTTCATCTTGTTACGCTGCTAACGCGATCATGGAAGATATACTTATTCCGCTGTCTCGTTCTGCTTGCACAGTTATCCCACCCCAGTGCCTTCCACCTTAGCCTCGCTCTTCAAAAGATTGAACTTAGCGGGGCTACTAATTGCGATGATGGAGCCCTTTTATTTCGACATGGTCGATTTCCGAGGAAACCACCCCCGTTGGATCTCAGAGCAGTTTCATCGGAACGTCGCCGTACGTCACTGTTAGTCGGCCATGCAGAGCATTGAAGCCAACGGCTGAGGAGCCTTATTGATCGGTAATATAACCGATACGTCGGCACGTTAAAATAATATATTTGTAGACGCGGCGACCTCGTCGGGTGGCGGAGGATGAGGGACCAGAATTTTTTTGGCCTGAAACCACCACGTGGCCCAAACCTGAAACCAAATATCCATCGTTGCATTGGCTACGGCAAACCGACCGCGGCGGGAGAGCGTTCCTCGAATGACTGTGCTGCAGTGCCACCTAGCTGCTTACCGCCTTGCTGGTTTCTCGCCGTTTCTCTTCCCGTTGCCGTGCCAGGCCCTAGCGGCCGCACTCGTGGGGTAGTCCGGCAACGTCCCTCTCGGTGGGAAACAGGGAGCCCCTGTGAGCAGCGGCCGTACAAGGCGCTCTGGGCGTGTCGTGGTCACGGCGTCGTCCTCCCAGACTCCTCCGGTTGACGACGGTTCCATGGGAATAGCTCTTTACAGAATGCGTGACAGTAGCAGCAGGAGCAGCAGCACTGTTGGGTGAAATTTGTGGTGTTTTTGCGCCTTAAAATGCACACAAAACGTAGGCCATGTGCGTGTTTTGTGCAGTTATGTCTTGGTGCCCGTGTTGTGTGTGCGTGTACCTGCGATGAGCAGTAGTGCAGCGGGTAGCGTGCTGCGCTACGAACCCGACAACCCGGGTTCGATTCCTGTTCACGACCAATACCAGTGATGATTATCTGAACTGGTCCTGGGCCTCCCCTAGGTCAATTCAGCCTCAAATAAGTGCTTACTGCGGTGTGTGAACATCAACACTGGGGAGACAAAGGCGGCCGGGCGTGGTGCTGGTCACCCACCACCTCGTGTGTTGTGCCGGCCTTCATAGGTGCTCACTAAACAGCGCTTGCTACTACAATCTGTTGAGGCTATACGGGGGATCTTTGTACATGCGTTGATGCGTATTACATGCGTGCAAGTTACATGGGCGGTGACGTGGAATAGCTATTACAGAGGTCCGTGGTTCAAATACAGCGGCCGCCCTGGTTTTTACTGTGGTTGTGTAAACACTGTTAAAATATTACGACATGATGTCTGCTTCACAGTGGAAGTTAAGATCCCCCGTGACATCATTCGCAAGACTATCGGCCATTGACTCCCAGCATCGAGGTCCAAATTTGACAGATTAGAAAATTACAAATTTGGGACTTTACTAAGCTAAAACTAAACTATTTTGTATTTTACCAGGTAAGGCCCACTGAGCTACATTGCTCCTTATCAGAAGCGACCCGGCCACAAATTATAGCTCAACGAAGTGGCTTATTACGTGGACATTTATAGCAGCCAAATACTCTCAATGCACGTTTATAAACTCAGAGGGAAAAACCGGAGGACCCGGAGAAAACTCCACGTGACCACGGGGAGAGAGAGAGAGATACTGCAAACTGCATATGTAAGGTAGTTAACATCTTACCACAGTGGCGTCCATAACAGTCATCACCCCTTACTGGCAGTCTAAAGTCCCAGGTCGCTCCTGCAAATGAGACTATCCTGGTCTCTTGAGTTCTCAAGCGGTTGAATAAAATTTACTTGAAATGTGATTGCGTCCCGGTAGCATGTAAGGAGGAGACATCCAGAGATGCAGCATCCGGAACTTTCTGCTGTATTTAAACTCCGCACAAATCCAAATTGTATGATATCACGTGAAGTAAACATTTGTGATGCATGTCATGTGCGGTGAATATATGTTCACGTGTGATACGGGGAGGGGCAGCGCACTGGTGTGCGAACTGCACCTGACGTTGACTCCCAGCCACGGCTGACATCAGTGGAAAATATCAGTACTGTACTAGGTCTACTCAGCCTTAAATGGGTACCATGAGTGGGCGAGACAAAGGTGACCGGATACGATACTGTTCGCGCCAGCCCAGCCGAGAACCGTGCCACCCTTAATAGGCGCTCGCTAACGTCGCTTGCACTCGGCATCCGCCGGGCCGTAAGCGGGGCATCTCCGTTTGTGTTTATTCAGGCACATAAGGGCTGTGGCCATGTTTGCTGCGCTGGACAGGGAGATGGAGAGGCCGGTGTCTAGCGACGTGGACGAGCGGGTGGACGCCTCCTTCCACAGCCCTGTCGCGCGAGAGCCTCAGCGGTGGGGGACACGACCTGCTGACACCAAGGTGACGCATCCCACCCCACAGACTCCACGCGCACAAAGCCTGGACACAAAACCCGGACATAAAACCTGGACACAAACCGGACACAAAACCTGGTCACAAACCGGACACGCCCACCCAGACGGAGCTGGATGGGGTTGGCGTGGGCGTGTGAGGGTATTGGACGGGGTGGTGCGGTAGTGGTAGTAGAGGTTCGTAGCGCTACGCTGCGCTACGAACCCGGCGACCCCAGCGACCCCAGCTCGATATCCGCTCACGGCCGCCAACACCGGTGACGATTATGTGAACCGGATCCTGGGCCTCCCCTAGGTCGACTCAGCCTCAAATGAGAACCCGGTGTGGTGTGTAAAAACATCGCCACTGGGGAGACAAAGGCGGCCGGGCGTGGTGCTGGCCACCCACCCCCTCGTGTGCCGTGCCAGCCTTCATAGGTGCTCACTAACAGCACTTTCCCCAACAGTCTGTTACAGGCTACACGGGGGATCTTTGTCTTTGTGTGAGATGTGCAAGGGGCATCAGGCTCACGAGACGGGATGGAATTTTGGCTTTTCAGACACGGGGGACGCAAGGATCTCCGCGTAGCATCGCGTGGGACCCTCACAGACTCGATGAGCAGGACATCGTTTGACTCTTCCGACTCAGGGGAGCGACTCGGAAGTGTGCGAGGGTGATTGTGGGGAGCGAGCGGCTAGAGGAGGAGGAGGAGGAAGTGGAGGTCTCTTGGGCCGAGTCGGGTCAGCTGACACTGGGGTCAGTGAGAGTTCAGCCACCAGAATTGATGAGACTTTTTCCACAAGGGATGCAGTCGAGTTTCGCTGAGGTCGTAGATTCACGGCACTCTGCTGCGTGTGGTTCTGCTGCTGCGCGTCGGCAAATGGAACTTGAGGTGACGCGAACACAAAGCACACAAACCGGAGGCAGTTTGGAAACTATAATTTATTTTACCGTCACGCAGTCAGCGAAGGAACCGTTGCGCCAAATGTGTGACCCTCTTGCGAATGCGTTGGCATCAACTGCTCTTTGCTGCCATACACTGGCATCTCGAGTGATTTGTTTGATCCGCGGATCATGGGTGGGGGTGGGGGGACATGGGGGGGGGGTGCGACCACGGGGCCGGCGCCATTTCTTTGAGGGGTCGCGGTCAACTTCGAACGTCGACCGCCAACTGATGTGAGTGCGTTTTGCTGCTGGAGTTTGCGCATCAAGACTGGTCGAAGTGCCCACAAAGTGACATCACAGCCGTCTCCTCCCTCGAACTAAGCTCTCGATCGCTAGGAGACATTTCTGAAGATGTCGAACCATCGGATGCCAAGAAGGAAGTGTAGGAAGTGTAAAGTAACAACTAATGTGCTGGTCCAGGCGTGACCTCAGAGCATTGCATTCTTTGCACGTGAATCAGCCACTGTTTCTGATGCATTGGTGCTCAAGCACAGTTTGTCGGGGCGATCGTGCTGGTTGGTTTTGGGTGTAGCGATAAATATCATCCTGCATCGAGTCGCGCGCGCGTAAGAATCGATGCTCTTCGATTGGCATGCGCGTATGGGCGCGGAGCAGTGGCGCAGTGGGCAGTGTCACTAAGCTACGAATCCCGTGACCCAGAATTCGATTCCTGGCCCACAGGTATTCGTGACGTGTACAATGGAATGGCGATGTGTGGCTGTCGTGGTGTGCCTGGCGGTCGTCCCAGGCAGCTTGTTTATCAGCCCAGGCTTTGCTTCGTAGATCCCGGTTGACTCATGCAGTGGCTTTATAGCTCCGAGTGCTGCAGACGATCATACGAATGTGCCAGAGGCCCGGCGCAGCTGTGCAAGGATCCCGCTGGCATTTCGTCGCTATTTCGGTCCGGGGTGAAGTGGAATGCCTAAGAAAAGCAATGGGGCCCGCTTGTAAACAGGCCGACTCGCTCAGAGATGTTGATGTCTTGCGATTGTTATTTCAGTGGGACCGTGCTCATCTTTGTTTGGCAGCACTGAGCCAGTGATTGTAATTCCACATTATCGTGGCGCGGGCCAGTCTTTCCAGAAGAAGAAACACTGTTGATTGGTCGATTGGCCAGTTTTAATTTTACTGGGTGAAAATCCATGGAGACTTCAAGTCTCAAATTAAGGGTGGCCTGAGTGAACAAGATGAAACCAATGTGATCAGTACCATGTAGACTTCCTACAAAGTGGTCCCTATTTTAATAACCCTCAAGTGATGATGGGCTAAGTCGATCTCTTGGATCTAAACTCGCAACTCGCTGGCTGTGACTCAAGAGCTCTGACCACAGAAGCACAAATAGTGCTTGTTCAGTGTCTCCAACGCGGCCATTATGAACCCCCTGAGAACTTAGACACCCAGCCCCGGGGGTTTAACCTTCAACCTCGGATCTCAGTGGTGCCAGCCCAGCGTTTCTGACGTGTCCATTCCTAACCAAGGGTGATTGATGAATGGGGCTATCGTCTGATGTACTGTCACCTGTTTCCTCTAATGCCACACTGATTCCACCGCCTGTCTTCTCGCTGTCGCTGCAGGTGATGGGTGGTGCCCCCATGTCCTCAGGGGCACTCCATCCCAGCCACGGATCCTTCCGGCGCTCCCAGTCCCTGGACCGGCAAAACGCGGGACTGGCCCCCACGGTGAGTGGTCTCTCCTAGTCTCATTCTACTTCCCCCACCACTCCCCTGCCACCACCGCCACCACCACTCAGTCATGGAACTGCCCCTCCGGCATCGTGATGCCTCCATGTTCGCCACGGTGGCAAGATGTTAACTCTCTCGCCTGGTATACAGGAGGTCGACGGTTCCATCCCGAACCTGATGCCTGCTGCTGCTGTATATTTGGAGTGTGCGTGTCTCTCTCCCCATGGTCGCGTGGATTTTTCTCCGGGCCCTCCGGTTTTTCCCTCCACATTTAGAATCAACATCGCGTGTTTTAAGGGTATTTGGCTGCTATACATTTCCACATGATAAGCCACTTCGTTGAGCTATCATTTGTGATGGCCAGGTCGCTTCTAGCTCAGTGGGCCTTGCCTGAATAAATAAAAGATAGTTTTATAGTTTAGTTTATAGATAAAAAAAAAAACACACAATGAATGTCCGAAAACGAGAGAGTGCAAGGTCGCTGCTAGCGTGGGCACCCACCCGGTAGACTGACACACACCGACTGCTTCAGTCTTCCCCGTGCTCTGCTACTGGTGGCCGTACCCTCTCGCTGGCTCCGGGTTTGAATGCCAGCTGCTCGTGATTCGATTCGAGGGGACTAAGCCCTTTGAGTCCTAAGAAATCCGCAAACCTATGATCTCTCTCGTGTCAAGTCGATCCCTCGTGTGCAGGCCCATTCATACGGTGTGACTCCCCCGTGGGTCAAATGCGGGCCGGTGTCGATCAAACCTGCGCTGCAAAACGGCCAACCGTGGATTTGATAAAAGTAAAAAAATGACACGACCCATTTTTATTTTTATTTTGCAATAATCATCGTCATCATGTCGCAGCTCCAATTAGCACGGTTGGCTACGTATGGTGCGAAAGAAGTTGAACATTTGTACGTACAAAATGCATTTTTAAATATTTCAGCGAGAAGTGTACCACTTTGTGTCAGAGAAGGACTCTGGGAGATGATTTTGCATAACTGCCGGACACCTCAAGTCACTTTATAAGTGTTGCACAAATCACACGGTCTGCAAGCCAGGGTTGTCATTTGACAATCAAAATGAGATTGTTGGAATCGTCAGAGCTGAGTAATCTTCAATAAAGTGAAACAACTAATTTATTGTAATTCTTTTGCCTGAAATTATTTAGCTGAGACTCTAAACTGACTAAACTTGACAACAGGCGTTCAGTCACAGTGGGCACCTGAAACCCAGATGTGAACCCAGCTTCTCAGCGGTGCTGGCTCAAACTCCTGAGTCACACGGCCACTCCAAGCACACCGTGCAAGTTTATACATATTTTAGTTTTATGTTGCCGGGCTGGGTGTCTGGGGTTTTCATCGATCAGTGGTTGTGTGTGGAGCCGTTTCACGGGCGGGCAGCATATCCAGATATCATTCCAGATTTCACACCGGATTTTCCACCAAAATGTATTATCTCTCCCGTTGAGCCAACTGGGCCTGAGCCGGCGCCTGTCGGCCCCCGGGCCTCCCACCAACGACGGCGCAACCGCTACCTCCGTCGCCCCCCCTCCGTGCATCGGCCACGATTTATGGCTCAGTTTATTTTCTGCCGTGTTAAAATGCGAAACGGGAGACAGCAGCGAGGAGCGCTGTGCAGCTGGCCCCGGCGGCCAGCTTTGTAAACAGCCTAAATCTGCCACCTTCGAGAATGCCACGGGGCGCTCGTCGCCCTGCGCAGCAGCGCCGGCGAGGAGCCGCCGCGATCACCGCCGTGCACTCGCCGGCTGCCGTCTGCCGAGTTGGATAAGCGCCGCGTTTGGCGGCATGGTGGTGATGCCAGCGAGCGGCAAACGGCGGGGGGTGAGTGGCGCGTGTGTGGGGCGGACGGCCGGCTTCAACCGTGCGCGTGAAATATATACCGCTCGCGCGATGTGCGTGGGTACGTGGTTGCGCGTTATAACGTTGCGGCCCCCTTCGTCAATCCACTGCTGGATGATGGCCTCCGGTCCCCCCTCCCCGCCCAGTCGGTCGTGGATGATGTTTGACCATACTTCACCCACGCTGGTTAGCGCCGATGTCAGCCACGGCCGGGAATCGAACTCGGGTGGCAAGGTTCGTGACGGAGCGCTGCCTACCGCCGCTCCAGTGCTCCATGCGCGTTGAATACACTCGAGAGATTAAAGCAATATGTTGCGTGTGCTGTTTGCATTCCTTACATCTGTAGCCAAAGACAAAGATCCCCCTACAGCCGTTAACCGACTGTTGGGGCCAGTGGTGTTAGTGAGCGCTTTGAAGGCTGGCACGGCACATGAGGGGATCGGTGGCCAACGCTATGCCCGGCCACCTTTGTATCCCCAGTGCTGTTGTTTACACACTGCACCCGGGACTCATTTGTGACCGAGTCGACCTTTGGGAGGCCGGGGACTTGTTCAGATACTCATCGCGGAATATTGTCCGTGAGCGGGAATCGAACTCGGGTCGCCGGGTTTGTAGTACAGTGTCTCTAAACACGACATTACCGCAGACTCAAACCCACAACGTGTGTACATTCGCGTGTGCAGACGTACTCAATATGCATGTGCTATGCTCATGCAATGAGTTTGCATTTGCTGGCTGTTGCCCCAGTAACTTGCACAGAGCCATGCAGATTGCCTCTTGCCTGGGCTCCTCCAGGTGCCGGGTCTTGGCGCAAAATTCAATTGAAACCAACTGCCGCTTCAGCGGATTTCGTAAATGCGTTACGATGCATGTGCAGCACGCACGCACTCTCGCGCGCGTGTGTGTGTGCGTTGTATAATGTGCGTTAAAAAAATCTAATCTCCTCCGTGGGGAAGGGTATTCAACCTTTCATACGACTTCCCCTTCGAGGTCAATATTTGCCGCTGGTAATTTGCGCATTACAACGCGGACATCCATCAATTACATGCCGTTATCATTCATCAGCAGGCAGTAGCCATTTGGACCGCCGCCAAAAGGGTGCGATGAGGACGATGCCTGGACGTTGCAAGGCAACGGACAAAACCTACGCCGCCGCACCAACATTTAAAACCATTTGGGCGCAAAATATTTCCCTCCAAACTTTATCGCTGCTGAAATGACGGCAAAAGCCCGATCGCAGGCACGGGCCCCCGGTTCAACGCGCCGGTCACTTCCCTCGGGATGCTCGCCGGATGTTGTCGCCGCACTGCCGGGCAACGGTCCCTTAAAGAGGGGCAGCCGAGGCGTCGTTAACTGCCGAACTGAACGAGCTTGGCATGGCCTGGCTCGGCGCTGTCGGCTTTAAATTCACGCCTCGTTTGCGAAGAACTCTGGCGGCACGGCACGGCGCTGGCAGCGACCACGGAGGCGCGCGGCGCCGTCGGCAGCGGCAGCGTTGTCCGTGCGTGCGTGTGTGTGTGCGTGTGTGCGTCCGTGCGTGTGTGCGTGCGTCCGTGCGTGTGTGCGAGCGTCCGTGCGTGTGTGCGAGCGTCGGCAGGAGCAGTGGTGCCTGGCCCATTGGGGACCCAAAGCAGAAATTATTATTATTATTATGTATACACGTGTGTATACGTGTGTGTATACTCACACGTGGTGGTGAGCAGTATTGGAACGGTTAGCTCGCTGCGCTATGAACCTGGCGAGCAGAGTTCGATTTCCCGCTCATGGCCAACAGCAGTGATGATTTTCTTAATAAGTTCTGGGCCTCCCCTAGGTCGACTCAGCCTTAAATGAGTACCTGGTGTAGTGTGTAGTAAACATCGCCACTGGCGAGACAAAGGCGGCCGGGCGTGGTGGTGGCCACCTACCCCCTCGTGTGCTGTACCAGCTTTAATAGGTGCTCGCTAACAGCACTTTCCCCAACAATCTGTTAAGGCTACACGGGGGATCTTTGTCTTATATGCTCACACGTACCCCGTGACCGGGTTCTGCGGCAGACCTGGCGTGACTACCCTCGGCTGGAAACTCAGAGGATCGCTCCGTCTTCTGCGACGCGGTTTCTCGCAGAAGCTTCAACGCATCTTAACCTCGGTGTCTCCTTGTTGTTGTCGCAGGCTGACTCTGCGAGTCTGAAAAAGGGTTGGCTCAGCTGGCTGGACGATGACGCTCAGGTAGGGACAATCGCCCTCCCTCCCCCCGTACGCCTGGAAACACGTGCCTGCTTTTACAGCACTGTGCAAACCCACCGCTGGATGAAGGCCCGATTTTTTACACTGTGTTGGTCGTGATGGTTTTATGGCCGCACTCTACTGTGCTGGTCAGTTTGGTTTGGAGGAGGAGGGGGTCCAACATTGGTTTAGATATCACCGGCCACTGACTTTAGCCCTGGCTTGGAATTGAACCCTGGCTTGGAATTGAACCCTGGGTAGCTAACTCCATAGCGCACTGCGCTATTTAACCCGGCGACCCCCATTCCTGCCTGTCTGCTTCGTAGCCGTAATTCATACATTAAGTGTATTGTCTCTTTGAACAATGTCATTACTTAATAATCTATTTCATTCTTTCGTGTTATTTGTTTTCATCTTTCAACTCATCTTGTACACAGGAGGCTCCGCAGTGCGTGTGAAGTTGTTTGACAATCGGAATTTGCTTTGTTGGCTCGCCCACAATGTGAAATGGCCTCAGGTACTTATTTTAGTGCCGAGATAACCTGCTGGGCCCGAGGCCATCTGCGTACAAAGCCCTGCGTCACAGTGTGCGCTGGACGTGGTGCTTTTTGATTTCACCAAACGCTGGCAATGCCAGCAACATACTGAGCTGCATGGGTGCAAGCATGCAGAGTTTCCACCTGTCTTGATTATCTCGGGAGGGAGGCAGCTGCTGTGTAAAGCTGTCCCGTTCTCCCAGGACCCTAATAGTCCAGGTTTTCGCCAATTTGCTTAATCATAATAATAGCAATGCATTTACATGTCTTTGTGCCCTATTTTAGTGTTCTTATTCCAATAAATGGCCCAGTTTATTTTGTACCTCAGAGGTGGCGACCCTCGCGAAAGGACTGAAAAGTTTTCTTTGATGATTGCTCTCCTGCGGCGGTTCAGTGATGGTGCCAAGACTCGGGCTGCTTTGCAAATGCATGCACTGTGCTGTGCATTCGCAATGCATTCTTGGCGTTACCCATAATGCCGTGTTCGTATTTTTTTTTACATCCGCTTGTATCATTTGAACCAATTGCGGTTATGCGGGAAAAAAAGCAACTGAAACGATGACGGCAAAGAGCAGAAAGAGACGAGAGGGACAGAGACATTGCCGTGTCGCTCGTTGAGTTGGCACGGCGTGGTTGACGTGGGCTCCGGTGCAAGGATATAAACCACGGTGCAGTTGCACCGCCTACACACGAGACCGCTATCCCACTGCGGTGTGGCGGTGGTGGGAGTTGGTGGATCGTGCAGAGATGGAGCCAGGGTTGGATTCGCAGCAATAATGTAGTGTTTGTTGCAGGCGGTACAGCAAGTAGGTTAGTGACTAGCAGCAGCGTTGCTGCGTCGTGGCTGCGGCGGCATAACCCGGGGGAGCCACATCGCATTCTGTGGCGCTCGCCCTCTGATGTGGGCTCTCAAAGGAGCCTGAGAAATGTCAGGGTCGTGATGGGAACGCCGTGGTGCGTTAACCGCTTTCGCGCCCGATCCTCCGATCCGGCGAGGGTTGCCATCTCTGCGGTACAAACGACCGGGACACATCAAGGGGCGAGGGGGACAACTGCACGCATGCAGAGTGGTGTGTGGGTTATTACGCAACTGATGAAAAACGATCCGCAAACCGCACCTCCAAATCAGCAGCGCCACAAACGGGTTTTTTTGTTTCGTTATTATTAAAACATTTATTTAAGCAGATGACAAACTCAAGAGACCAGGATACTCGTCTTGCCAGCTGGCGGTGACGCGTGCTGCGCGTATTCCCGAACGAGTGACTCGCGGTGTCATTTTAGAATTTCCGCCAAACTTGGACCCCGACGCCGGTACACATCGGCCGACACTCTTGAACGCCCGTCGTGAAGCAAGACCGCGCGCCGTAGCATCATCGCGGCGATTACAACCGCAGCAACGACCCGGGGCGGTCGCCGGATTCGAGGCGTGAAGTCTCTTCAGCGGCAAGCGGCGACCGCACCGCACCGCCGGGACCGCGGTGCGGTGCGACGCGCAGGGAGGACGGTGCCGAGGGAACGGGGCGGACGGGTGGCACCCCGAGAGCGGACGCGGCCCGCTAGGGCGGAGCAGGAGGAGGTGTCGTCGTCGCTAGGGCGGAGCAGGAGGAGGTGTCGTCGTCGCTAGGGCGGAGCAGGAGGAGGTGTCGTCGTCGCTAGGGCGGAGCAGGAGGAGGTGTCGTCGTCGCTAGGGCGGAGCAGGAGGAGGTGTCGTCGTCGTTAGGGTGGAGCAGGAGGAGGTGTCGTCGTCGCTAGGGCGGAGCAGGAGGAGGTGTCGTCGTCGCTAGGGCGGAGCAGGAGGAGGTGTCGTCGTCGCTAGGGCGGAGCAGGAGGAGGTGTCGTCGTCGCTAGGGCGGAGCAGGAGGAGGTGTCGTCGTCGCTAGGGCGGAGCAGGAGGAGGTGTCGTCGTCGCTAGGGCGGAGCAGGAGGAGGTGTTGTCGTCGTCGTCGCGGCTCCAAACGGACCGCCACGGTCACGCGGCGATGCCATGGCGCAGTTACCATCGTAGTTACCAACTCAGTTACCATCACAGTTACCATCACAGTTACCATCACAGTTACCATCGTAGTTACCAACTCAGTTACCATCACAGTTACCATCTCAGTTACCATCACAGTTACCATCTCAGTTACCATCACAGTTACCATCACAGTTACCGTCACAGTTACCATCACAGTTACCAACTCAGTTACCAACTCAGTTACCATCTCAGTTACCATCACAGTTACCAACTCAGTTACCATCGCAGTTACCAACTCAGTTACCATCGTAGTTACCATCGTAGTTACCATCGCAGTTACCAACTCAGTTACCGTCACAGTTACCAACTCAGTTACCATCGCAGTTACCAACTCAGTTACCATCACAGTTACCATCGTAGTTACCATCGTAGTTACCATCGCAGTTACCGTCACAGTTACCAACTCAGTTACCATCGTAGTTACCGTCGTAGTTACCAACTCAGTTACCAACTCAGTTACCAACTCAGTTACCATCTCAGTTACCATCACAGTTACCAACTCAGTTACCATCGCAGTTACCAACTCAGTTACCATCGTAGTTACCATCGTAGTTACCATCGCAGTTACCAACTCAGTTACCGTCACAGTTACCATCACAGTTACCATCGCAGTTACCAACTCAGTTACCATCGCAGTTACCAACTCAGTTACCATCACAGTTACCATCGTAGTTACCATCGTAGTTACCATCGCAGTTACCGTCACAGTTACCAACTCAGTTACCATCGTAGTTACCGTCGTAGTTACCAACTCAGTTACCAACTCAGTTACCATCACAGTTACCAACTCAGTTACCATCGCAGTTACCATCACAGTTACCATCACAGTTACCATCTCAGTTACCATCACAGTTACCAACTCAGTTACCATCGCAGTTACCATCACAGTTGCCAACTCAGTTACCATCGTAGTTACCATCGTAGTTACCATCGTAGTTACCAACTCAGTTACCAACTCAGTTACCAACTCAGTTACCATCTCAGTTACCAACTCAGTTACCATCGCAGTTACCATCACAGTTACCATCACAGTTACCATCTCAGTTACCATCACAGTTACCAACTCAGTTACCATCGCAGTTACCATCACAGTTGCCAACTCAGTTACCATCGTAGTTACCATCGTAGTTACCATCGTAGTTACCAACTCAGTTACCAACTCAGTTACCAACTCAGTTACCATCTCAGTTACCAACTCAGTTACCAACTCAGTTACCATCACAGTTACCATCTCAGTTACCATCTCAGTTACCAACTCAGTTACCAACTCAGTTACCAACTCGTTACCATGGAGAACGTCGCCGTGTGTCCGCGTGCCTGCTGATTGATCGCTTTGGCGCCGTCCACGTTGCCCAGATTAAACTCCCCGGCGGCGCGGTGATGATTGTGAAGTGTGGAGCCGCCCCGAGGTGTGAAGGGTGGAGCCGCCTCAGTGTGAAGTGTGGAGCCGCCCCGAGGTGTGAAGTGTGGAGCCGCCCCGAGGTGTGAAGGGTGGAGCCGCCTCAGTGTGAAGGGTGGAGCCGCCTCAGAGTGAAGTGTGGAGCCACCTCAGTGTGAAGTGTGGAGCCGCCTCAGTGTGAAGTGTGGAGCCGCCTCAGTGTGAAGTGTGGAGCCGCCCCGAGGTGTGAAGTGTGGAGCCGCCTCAGAGTGAAGTGTGGAGCCGCCCCGAGGTGTGAAGTGTGGAGCCGCCTCAGTGTGAAGGGTGGAGCCGCCTCAGAGTGAAGTGTGGAGCCGCCCCGAGGTGTGAAGTGTGGAGCCGCCCCGAGGTGTGAAGTGTGGAGCCGCCTCAGAGTGAAGTGTGGAGCCGCCCCGAGGTGTGAAGTGTGGAGCCGCCTCAGAGTGAAGTGTGGAGCCGCCCCGAGGTGTGAAGTGTGGAGCCGCCTCAGTGTGAAGTGTGGAGCCGCCTCAGAGTGAAGTGTGGAGCCGCCTCAGAGTGAAGGGTGGAGCCGCCTCAGTGTGAAGTGTGGAGCCGCCCCGAGGTGTGAAGTGTGGAGCCGCCCCGAGGTGTGAAGTGTGGAGCCGCCTCAGAGTGAAGGGTGGAGCCGCCTCAGTGTGAAGTGTGGAGCCACCTCAGTGTGAAGGGTGGAGCCGGCCGAGGTGTGAAGTGTGGAGCCGCCTCAGTGTGAAGGGTGGAGCCGGCCGAGGTGTGAAGGGTGGAGCCGCCTCAGAGTGAAGTGTGGAGCCGCCTCAGTGTGAAGTGTGGAGCCGCCTCAGTGTGAAGTGTGGAGCCACCCCGAGGTGTGTAGTGTGGAGCCGCCTCAGTGTGAAGGGTGGAGCCGCCCCGAGGTGTCGGCGGTCGCTTCCCCGAGGAACTTCGCCCACGTGGCGACGGGGGCCTGCGTGCTCGCTGCTATTTTAGCGCGAATCATTTCAGAGAGAGCGTGGACGATCCAAAAATGCTTTAACGTAACGTTTTCTTGGTATGTGCCGTAGGTATGTTGAAATTCTTT